GGGCGAGCCGCGGCCGCCTGGGCCCGCGGAGGCGGGAGGCGGAGTCCGGCAGATCCGGCCGCGCGCCAGCCTCGTGGTCCTCCAGCCAGACCTAGGCCTGCCCCAGGGGATCCCCACCCCTGGCCCTCTCTTCCCCTCACTCACTGCCCCTGGAAGACCTAGACTTAGTGACAGTGACGAAAAGGGCTGTGCTTTGGGAGGGGGCGGGTCTTTATCTTCTCTGAATTCTGGCTGCTGCTCCGGGCCTGCAACTCGCTGCCGGGGACCCAGGATCCAGCACTGGCAGCCGCTGGCCTCCTGGTCGGGCCCAGCTGGGGGCGCACCTGACAGTGGTCACTGCTGCCTGGGTCAGCCTCCCTGTGCTACCGGCCTGGGGCTTCTGCCTTCAAACCACTTTTTGAGACAACCCCCACCTCCAGGAACTCACTTCTCATTCTGACCTCCTAGGGGGATGCCTGGGGAGAGGGCCGAATTTATGTACTGGGGATGGGAGGTGGGGTCCTGTATCCACTCGTCTTTCCCTGCAGTCCATCCTTCTGGTTCCTGCCCGCTCCAGCCTCCAGTGCATCATGCTTCCTCTTGCTGTCTGTGATCCAGCCCCTCTGGCTTACTCAGCCCATTCTTTCCTGCCTCGTGCCCTTTGCACAAGCTGTTCCTGCTGTCTAGGGTACCCTCTCCCACTCCCTTACCTTGCCTGAGTTAGCTTCTAGGGGAAGTGACCCATCAGACTAAGTCAGCATTTCCTATTGTAAATGCTTTCAGAGTTCCTTGTACTTCCATGCTATTATCATGGTTGTAATTTGGCGTTTGTGTGTGTGATCGTTTAACTCTTTCCTCCACTAGACTGCTCAGTGAAGGCAGAGTCCTTGTGCATTGTTCACTCCTGCATTCCCATTGCTTAGTGGAGCATGTGGCAATCACCCATTATGTTTCTGTGGAGTGAGTCACACACGCCACACACTCTGAAAGATGAATGAAGCTTCGGGGGGCAGATACTCAAGTGCCATGGCCTCTTTGACCCCGCCCCAGGTCCCTGCCAGAAAATATCTGGAGTTGGAGGTAAAGGATCTGAGAACACGGTACTCCTTCATCTAGCCTGGAAGTCAGCCTCTTACTCCAAGACCCTGATCTCTGACTCTCATAACTGCCAGCAGGTCTCTCGGCCTGGACGTGTGGATGACCGCACACCGAACCTCATGGTAGGAGTCTGACTTCCTTCATTCCCTCGCTTGTCCTGTAAGGACCCCTACCTCCTTCTCTGGGCACCCACCCTGTTCCTGGGCCTGGCCCCGGGCCCTTGCTCGGCTCCTTGTTTGGTCCTCGCCAGGCTCTGGTGTGCCCATGGCCAAGGTAGTGAGCAGGCCCCTGCCCACTCTGGGCCCAGCCTGAGGCCCCTGCAGAGAGTTGTAGATCAGCATGGTCTGCCCGTCCCCCGCCAGTACTGTCTATCCCCTTGATTTTAGAGCCACAGGGCCCAGTGACAGCCTCACCCAGCTTGTGCATGTGCCTGAGACGTCCCGTTAGGCAGCGCCAGTATGGGGCTGGCACCCATGGGCCCCGATGTGTCCTTTCAGGAGGCTGTGACGTTTGGCGATGTGGCTGTGCACTTCTCGCGGGAGGAGTGGCAGTGTCTGGACCCTGGCCAGAGGGCCCTCTACAAGGAAGTGATGCTGGAGAACCACAGCAGCGTGGCCGGACTAGGTGAGGCTTCACCTGGACTCCCTCCGCCGCACCATCAGTCAGTGTCCACCTAGCCAGGTCTCTGCTAGGGGCTGGGGATGTGGAGGCCATATGGTCAAGCCCTCTCAGGCTAGACAGGGGCCTTGAACCTGTGAGTCTCTGTGGGTCAGAAGCTGACCCGGGAGGGTTTCGGTGAGCCAGGCAAGCTCTGAGCTTTGCACACATCACGATTCAGTCCTAACTGTGTAGGTGGACTTCTGGGAGCTAACGAAGCCTCTTTTTTGCCTGGGTCAATAGATAAGATTACTGTAAGAAACAGAATCCAAACAGAGTAAACAACAAAATGGAACTTATTGGCTCATGGGATCCAAGGAAATGGTTGTACAACTGAAGCCTGGGTGGCAGCGATGCCCCAGGGACCTCTATGTGGAGGCTGTTGCCTCCCCTCTCTCCTCCTGCCTGCCACCATCTTCCTCTCCCATCCCCCACTGCCACAGGCAGACGCTCCAGCGCGCTTCAAGCCTGTCTCTCTTACTGTGCTACGAGCCCATGGCTTGGATTGTACCCTTGTAGGGGAGGGTGTGCCCCCGCTGTGCTGGCCCCACAGGGTCTTTAACCCCATCACACATAGCACCTGGGCCACTGAGAGAGCATTGGGTGGGGGGCCAGGAGTGGGCTCGCCCAGCAGAGTGGTGGGACCAGGCCTGTCCCTCTCTGCCCTTCTATTTCCACGCAGAGGAGCACGTGGTGAGCTTGCCTGGTGTGAACTTGTGGTTCTCTGATCACTGCTCACCCCGAGCCCCTCTTCCCTCTCATTAGCATTAGGCAAAGCCAGGTTTCTTCAGTAAAGTGCTCAAAGCCTTGGCCTGTTTTCTGCTGGGGTTACTGGGCCTTACTGGTTTGAATTTGTTTATTATTTCTGATTGCTGGCTTTCATTGAATCCGAGGTACGGTACGTCGTGAGACATGTCATTATCTTATGTATCAACAAGAAGTAGAATGCTGCTGATTATACTGCTGCATGACTTTTTCTTATTCCGTAAACATTTTTTATACTTTTTACAAGCGCTCTTAGACCCCCTTAGACATGGCTTACCGTGCGCCAGTGAGCTGGAATGGGAAGGACAAGAGGAGAGAATTGGCTTGGGTGTTGCTCACGTCCCCTCCTGTCTTCTGGTGTGTTGGTTTCTGTGTTCATGCTTTCACCTGCTGGCATCTGTGGGCCCTCGGGAGCCTGAGGGCTGAGCCTTTAAGTGTTGCTGGGTTTCCTCCCATCGGCAAGGCTGGTGCCCAACATTGGCGGCCGCTCCTTCTGTGTGGATCTGGTCGCCATGCCCGGTCTCCTGTCTTGGGCCTGGTTTGCACACGTGGGCCGATTTGCCAGAGACTGAACTGCAGTCCCTGGTCCGCAGCAGTTTGCTTCTCCAGTCTTGGGCGTGCACCCCGCTGCTCTTCCTCCACGGCCTCCTGCCTGTGCGGTCACTCCTGCAGAGAGCAGGACAGTGCTGTGACTTGCCACCGTGCCTGTGTGCATGCAGTCGCTTCAGCTGTCACCGCCCCCAGCCGAGGACAGCAGGTCCCAGGTGTGACCCACGTTCAGACGTGCACGTGCTCTTTAGGTCGATGTTAGGCTACGTCCTGTGTGGTGACACCACACAGGTGTTGTGCTTTGTG